TCTCGTTCTCTCTCTCTCTCTCTCTCTCTCTCTCTCGCTCCTTCTCTTTTTCTCTTCCTCTCTCTCCCCCCTCTCTCCCCCCCCTCTCTCTCTCTCTCTCTCTCTCTTCCTCTCTCTCCTCTCTCTCTCTCTCTCTCTCTCTCTATCTCTTCTCTCTCTCCTCTCCTCTCTCTCTCTCTCTCCTATCTCTCTCTCTCTCTTCTCTCTCTCTCTCTCTTCTCTCTACTCTCTCTTTCTCCTCTCCTCTCCCTCTTCTCTCTCTCTCTCTCTCTCTCTCCTCTCTCTCTCTCTCTCTCTCCATCCCCCCCCTGGGCGTGAAGCGATCTAGTGCGCGTCTCCGTTCCTTCCCCTGCTTTGCCCCCCCATTTCCCTTGGTCGCCTGCCTCCTTTTTTCTTCCCGCTCCACCTCCACCTTGTCCCCATTCCATGCCCATCCTTTTCGGTTTCCTCCTCCCCGCCCTCATCGTCGTCCACCCTTCTCTTTCTCCTCCCGCCTCCCCCCATCATCCCCCTTCGCCCTAAACCTCCGCTCCAGATGGGCAACGGACTGAAGATTTGAAAAAGTTCGAGAAACGAAGAGGGACCATAACAAGCAATAAAATCTGAACGCGCACGGGGTATCAACATAAAAACGAACGTCTCAAAACTATCGCCCTCGACATCGTCGTCGTCGGGCAGCCTGTCCAGCACGGCTGCGCACGCTGTGCGCAGGGGGGCGAAGGGGATCTCGGCGTCTGGGCTGGCTGCCAGCAGCACTGCCACCTGGGGCAGGAGGGGGCAGGGAGGGTGAAGGATAAATACAACTAATGAACAATGAGATTCAGAGGAGGCGCCCCGACCCCCCTCTCCTCTGGATCGTGGAGGGGGTTGGGAAAGCCTCCTCTGATTCTTGAAGCCCCCCCCCCCCCCTCCCCCCCGCCATCAGGAGGGTTGGCAGAGGGGAAAAAAACGGGCGTGGTTCAAACTGCCAACCACCAGGCCGTCCATGGCCGCGATGCTCGGGCCGTGGGCCGCGTGGTCCTTGTGCAGAAAGTAGTAGTGCCCCAGATTGAATGAGCTCTTTACCCCCTCCAGCGCGATATACTCTAACACGGAACGGCCCAATGGGGAAACGCCATCAAACTCGGCGCCCGCGGACATCCGTCCGCTGGAGGGGGTAAAGAGCCCGCGCAGGGGCGGGGCGAGAGTGCCCTTGGCCAAAATGGCTTAGCGGCGCTCCTTCTCCTCCTCGTATTCGCCCTTCTCTTTCCCCCCTCCTCCTTGTCCTTTCTTCCCCTCTCCCCCCCTCCTCCCCCTTGGAAGCCCTCTTCCTCCTTCTCCTTCCCCTGTCCATCTTCCCCCCTCCCCCCTGTCATTTTAAAGGTCGGCAGTCGACCTGCGGGGCTTCGCAGAAGCCTTCGGCCCCATGGCAAAGCTCTCTCTCTCTCTCTCTCTCGCTCTCTCTCCCTCTCTCTCTCAGCTCTCAGCTCTCACTTCTCAACTCTCTCTCTCTCTCTCTCTCTCTCCCCCTACATCCTACATATATATATATATATATGTATATCTATCAGTGCCGAGATCTCCAGTTGTCTCCCTGTCCCGCTCAGTCCCGAGATCCCCGCCTCCTCATCGCCCCCCCGTTTCCAAGCGGGGAAAAGGAATATGAAGGGGAAATGGAAGAAGAGGAGGGATGACAAGAATGGAGGAAGAGGGGAGTTTTTTTTTATCCCGCACAACCCTCAGCGCCGCATGAAGTACAAGCGGTAGGGCAGGCACGGCACCCGCACGTACCACTGCACCCGCACGCGGCCGTCTTCGCTCCACGACATCAGGATTTCGGAGCACCGCACGGGCATCAAGGTGAGCGCCCCAGGCTGACCTGGCGCCCACCCCTCGTCCACCTTCCAGCCCTCTCGGGGCCACTGGCCTCCATAGCCAGTGACCGCGATAAAATTTGGACACCCCGCCCACGGGCGGGGTGTCATCTGCAGCAGAGCAGGGGCGATCCAGCTCCTGCTCGGCTTGCGGTTGCGCCCGCTGGTCATGGGGAGGCCTGGCGGGACCTCCCCAATCTCCACGACGCGCCATGGGATCCCGAGCCCTGGGGGGGCGGGCCCCCCATCGTGCTCAATCCACAGGCACGTGGCGTCCACCTCCATGGCGCTTGAGCCCAACGAAGAAATAAGGAGAGGAGGGAGGAGCTGGAGCAGCTGAGAAAGGGCGGTCGGGTAGCAGGGGAAGAGAAGGGGCGGTGGGGGAGGATTTGGAAGATAACGACAGTCGGCACGCAGAGGCGGGGGGGGGGGCAGGATGCGACAGAGATACGGAGGAGGACGAGGAGGAAGCACGGAGAGGAAGGACGTGAAAGGGACAAGAAGGAGAGGAAGCTCAAGCAAGTCGTCTGCCCACACCGATGTGACAATCGTATGGCGTCAGATCATTGTCAGAACATTGATCTGACAATGACCTGACGTCAGATTATTGTCAGACCGAAACTGGTACGGTCAGACGAAACTCTTCTTTCATTGTCAGATCGCCCCCCCTGCTGTCGACGAACCCAGACCGATCCGCGACTGACTTGTTACCGACCGCGACCGACTCCGCGACCGACATGCTACCGACCGCGACCGACATGTTACCGAAGGCGACCGCGACCGATATTGCCGCGACCGCTACCGATATTACCGACCCACCCTGAACGCTACCGTCGCGACCGGTCGCACCTGGAAAATTCCAGGAATCAATGATCTGGGTTCGCCGTTGTGTTCGAAATCGAGGAGGAGGGAGCTGGGGATGTTGGAATGAAACCGATCAGGGCGCGCCGAAGACGCCGCCGAAGGCCCGCTGTCACTTGCGCCCGTTTACGCAACGTGTTAAATGGCTCTGTTCAGCTTCTCAGAGATCCGAGAAGAACGCGTTGAAACAATTGAGCCGGACGACGACTCCCATGCCGCGCCCTCCCAGTCGCGCGGTGCGATCCCCACGCGTAGGCGACGCAGGTGTCGGCGCGACGCATGTGATTGCGATCTGCCTACGCTCTCCTTTGTTCTACATGAATGTGATGCAGGGGTCGCTGCGGGCGTTGCATGCCTGGGAACTACTGTGAATGCCGCGCCAGATGCTGTTGCGAATGCGCCCTGGGCCGGGGCTTTGCGATGGAGAACGCAACTTTGCGTCTGGAGCCGCGGATGCACAGGAAAGGGACTCGCTCCAGCAGGCCGATCTTCTATACAAGTACGTTGCCCGAGAACCCCCCGGACTTCTTCCTTGAGCAGGTGGAGATCTTGCCAGGCCCCGGGGGCCTCCTGAATGCAGACAGCGTCGCGGCATGGGCGACCCGAAACAGCTGGTCGATTCTCGACCGAAGCATGGCATGGCTAGCAGCCAGCCCTCCGCAGAGAGATCTGGCGTTCCAAGTCGCACTCGAGAGGTCGGCGCAGGGGTAAAATGGGTTGGCCGCGAAGGAAGGAGGCCCTGCCCCAGACAAAGAAGACGGCGAAGACAAGCTGGACACGGCAGGGGAAAAGGAAGCCGAATGAGAGCATGAGGCCGAGCATGCAGAACTGGAGCTCGACGAGGACGATGACCGCCGCGTGGTTGAAATAACTGAAGACCGTATAATTGAAGTAGCCTGGCACCCGCGCGGGTCAAACACATGGCCGGACGCATTTGACATGTTGAACCCTATTCGATGGCACTCCAAATCATTGACGAGATTTGGTCCTTGCTCATCTCGATGATTTTGGACATCTCGATGTCTGGCTCCAGGTTGGCGGACGTGTCGGCTTTGTCGGTCATTGTGCACAGGATGAAGGCCCCCCCGTCCTTTGTGAAAGAGGCAACCCCTTTCATGACCATTCCCTCCCAGGGCAATTCTGTCCGAGCTTCTTGCGAACAAAATGCTGCGACACGCCCTGTCGCACTCTGCTCAGGACCAGATTGCGACGACGGACGTCGAGATTGGCACCGCGACGAGCACGGAATTTGGGAAGGCCCTTGGCGTTCTCGAACTTCAAACCTGTGTTCTTGACAAGTTCCGCACATGCTTTCGCATCGGTGGCAATCTCGGATGAGACCCTGAGGGCTTAGTTGAGGCGATGAGCGGTAACGAGGTAGGACGATTGACGTGCGACAGAAGATGCGGGATACCCTTCTCATTCATGAACGGGACCACGACGAGACTGCAACCAACCATTCGGGATCCTCTTGGGGTCGGAGTCTTGCTCGTTGCTGCCCGATCCGGTGAGCGCCGATGTGCAAGGCCCCACCCACTGCCCGCGTTGCCACACATAAACACTAGAAACACTGGAAACTGACAAGAGTTTGAGCGAATGCTGGAAGCATCTGGACTGGACTGGCTCTCAAAAACTGTGGCCTCCAATTTGGCGGGTCGGGTTGCTTCCTGGGCTGCGTCAATCCCTCTGCTGATCAGAACCTCCTGCGTGGACATCCTATCGCTGAGCACGGTGTAATCATTTTCGCAACTTCTGACCGCAAACGGGATCCCCGCAAACTCTGACTTGGTAGCCATATTGGACCCCATACGCTGCAGCGGTGCCATAGTGGGGTCAGCGCGTTCCCTGCCGTCGGAGACCTTCGGGCGCACATGACGGTCTTCGTCACTCGACATGGCGACATCACCTGGCAGCGCACCGGCCGCGGAGGACATGGTGGTGTCCGTCCGGGCGCGACAGCCAGAGCGACCCTCTGGTGAGAGCTGCCCGCTCGAAAGGGACACTTTGAACCAAAGTGGCAACGGCAGGAGGAGGAGGAGGAGGAAGAGGAGGAGGAGGAGGAGGAGGAGGAGGAGGAGGAGGTGGAGGGGGGAGGGGGGGGGGGAGGGGAGGAGGAGGAGGAGGAGGAGGAGGAGGAGGAGGAGGAGGAGGAGGAGGAGAGAGGAGGAGGAGGAGGAGGAGGAGGAGGAGGGAGGAGGAGGAGGAGGAGGAGGAGGAGGAGGACGAGGAAGGAGGAGGAGGATGCGCGAGCAGACGAGGCGAGGAGGGGGCAGGAGCGAGAAGGGCCTGCGCAGCGAGGCACAGTGAGCCCGCAGCGCCGCCCGCCTGCCACGCTGAGAGCCATCCCGTGTCCACCGGTTTGGAGAGGTGCCAAGGATTGCACAACAAAAACAACCAGGATTGCAAAAAACCCGGGTTGTGTTTGCAATCCTTGGTTTTTTTTGGTTTGCAATCCGGTTTTTTTTTGCAATCCTTCGGGTTTGTTTTGCAATCCTTGGGTTTCTTTGCACAGGGTTGTTTTGCAATCTTTGTGTTTTTTTGTTTGCAATCCTTCGGTTTTTTTTGCGAGGCCTGCGTGGGATGGGCACTTCCCGCCTTTCACGGGGCGAGAAGCTGCCGCAGATTTCGTAACAAAAGGGAGGGGGTCTCAGCCCTCCCAGACGAGAAGTTTTAGACCCTCCCAGATCATCCATGAAAGGGCGGCCCTTTGCCCAGACCCCCCCGAACCCTCCAAGACAGCTCAAATCAGACCCCCCCCCAAATGTGACCCCCCCCGACTTTATTATGGAATCCAGAGTACCCGGATATGCCTCGCACTCGCACGCACACAAGAAGCCAACCGAACGCTCCCAAGTCGGGCAGGCACTCAGCTACCCCGCGGGTCGGCCCTCGGGAAACGACGGAGGGGAAGGCGCCGGGCCCCTCAAGTGGTAGTGACGGGAGGCGGCGAGGCAGCAGGCAGTGGCGGGGGGCAAGGTATGCACACACACACACACACACACCGCCACCCCGCCCGGCAGTCCGTTCCAACTGCACCGCGCATGCCGAAGCCACCTCCCCAACGCGATCACCACCACCACGACCACCACCACCACCCCCAAAGCCCCGCGAAGGACAGCCCGTTCCTGCGCCCCCGCACGATCCACCTGCTCATGCCGTCCCACTCTACCCCCTCACCCCTCCCCTCCCCCCTCCCCTCCCCTCTCCTCCCCGCACCCTCCCAAGCAGCGCATAGTATCGATATCCAACGCTGCCACGAGATCTCCTCGCCGGTGGACACGGATGAGTCTCGTCGGAGCGGCTCGAAGTATACAACCAATCGTCTGGTCGGCCTAGGGTCTCGTTGTATGGAGGCCCCTGCTCCCCAACCCGCGGGATGCTGGAGCGTCTATACACCGAACTCCCTCTCCGATCTCAGTGGCTCCTCGGCCGACCAGGCCCAGACCAGGGCGAGCGCGTGGGGACAACGGCAGCTCAGATCGCTCCCTGGACCCCTCCCGGGGTCCAAACGCACCTGTCTCCGAGGGGGCCCTCCCGGAGGCCACCTGGGCGACCACACACTCGCCATCGCTCGGACGCCCATTCCCTGTGTTTTTTTCGGTTTCGTTCGTGGTTTTTTCGCCAAATGATCAAGGATGCTCCTCGATGGTTCTCGCCGAGAAAAAATGCACACGTCCGAGCGATGCCAGCGGATTCTACGCGACAGGACACGGCGAACCCACGCTGCGGCTGACGCGCGCCGCCGGCGCGCCGCACGCTGCCGCGGAGACGCGGGCGCCGACGCGCGACCGACCCTACGACGCGGGCAGCCGGCGCGCCCGTGTCGGTGCAGAAGATGGCCCGTTTTTTCGTTTTTTGGCTTGCGCCGCTCCCCGGCCGTGGCCTCCACGCGCCCCCCCCCCCCCCGACAGACGACCCAGACCCCCGACGTCGTGTTTTTGTCGCAACGTCGACCCCGGGCAGTCTGGGCCCTTCCCCCGGGACCGGCTTGTCATCCCGAGTGGTTTTTTGACGGTCCCGCGGCCCGGGAAGGGCCCCCGGAGACCGAAAATAGCGAAAAACCTCCCGTCGTGTTTTTTTCACGACGCGAGGGGGTCTGGGGACGCGGCGCAGATATACGTCGAGCCCCTATAGGTGCGCCCCGGCCGGCGGGCGCCTCCTCCGCGCACGCCCCGCAGAGGAGGGGCGGCAGCAGCTGCAGCAGCGGCGGCGCGGCCGCCCGGCGGAGCGCCCCGGCGCCCATGGCGCCCGCCCGCGGCCGGAGGGCTCGCACCGAGGTCTCGGGGAGCGCCTCCTCGTCGGCGGCGGGCGATGGGGGGGAAGCGAGGAGGAGGCCTTCTCGGATGGCGGCGGGACTTCGCGGCAGCCCGCGCGCCCCGTGAGCAGCTTCCTGCGTCCGTACGGGGAAGGCTCCGGGAGCTTCTCGGAAGGCCGACGGACTGCCGAGCCTCCTCGAAAAGGCCCGCCCCTCTCACTTCCCCCCCGGGGTCTCCACCGATTCTTGCGAGGCGGGGATCCATCCACAACCGCCCCAGACCCCCCTCGGGTCACGAACGAAGATCACGACGGGAGGTGTTTCGCTGGTTTAGCGCGGCGCGCCGCGCGGCGTGCACCGCACCGGTGTGCCTCCGAGCTCTCGCGCGGGCCCCTGGAGAGCGCGGGCAACTGTCTCCGACAGAGGCCAAGAGGGCGCCTGACGCGGCTGCCTCCGCGCACCTGGGGGTGGCCTGGAGCATCGGGGACGAACTGGGCCAGGTCAATGCCGACCCAGGTCAGTCAAGCCTTTGCAGGATCTTGAACGATCCTGCGGGGTCCTGCGGGACCCTGCACGCAAGCGCGACTCAACGCACCCCTGGTCCTGCAGGATCCTGGAAGATCCAGCGCGGTGACTGACCCCGTTTGCATTACCCCCCGTCTCTTGAGCCCCGAAAGTATGCTGTCCCATCGGCTCCGGCAAGCAAGGGACATGAGGGAAAAGGGAAAAGGAATGAGGAGATCGTCCATTCACCCCGCTCGCTGGAAAAATCCTGAGACGGCATAGGTTCAAAAGTTCGGGGGCTGGGGTTCTCCAGCGCTTCCGTAAATCTCGGGAGATCTGGGGACGCCTCCGTGGTCGCGGCTGCACTTCCCTTCCGGATTTCGGCAACAAGGAGGAGCGGCACAGGACGACAAGCAGGCCCTGTATGGGAAGGGGTGAAGAGGGCCCAGTAGCGCAAGGCGTGGACGAGGAGGAGGAGGAAGAGGAGGGGAAGGAGGAGGAGGAGGAGGAGGAGGAGGAGGCGGTAGAGGAGGAGGAGGAGGAGGAAGAGAAGAGAAGGAGGAGGCGGAATAAGTAGGAGGAGGAGGATGAGGAGGAGGAGGAGGAGGAGGGGAAGGAGGAGGAGGAGAGGAGGAGGAGGAGGAGGAGGAGGAGGAGGAGGAGGGGGAGGAGGAGGAGGTGGAGAGCGAGAGCCAGAGCGAGAGGGGGGAGGGGCCGCGGTGGCCAGCCTCAAGAGAAGGCCGACCCCCCGCGCGCGCAGGCGGCGTGCGCGCCGGCCTGCGGCCCCGGGGACGGGCCCCCCGGGAGCTGGCGGGGGCGCCCGAGTCGCGCCCAGCGCAGGGGGGAGAGCGATCGATTACCAGCCTCGAACGTATCCCTATCCCTAAGATTGACACGCCAAAAGGCGATGACAATCTTAGGGATCCGCCCTCAAAAAATAAGGGAATCCCTAAGATTGGCATCGTGATGAGGTGCCCAGCATGGGGATAGGGATATGTTCCTGGCTGGTAAATCGAGGGGGGGTGACAGGCCCCTGAGATCCGACGTTGCAGCAACAAATTGCACCATCGCACACAAAAATCACGACCAGGCCCCCAGACCCGGGTGCCAGGCCCCATCTTTCTGCGCCAGATGTGAGCACCGCGGCCAGAACTCGAGCGAAAACGCCCGGCTCGAAGAAATCGAGTCGCCAGGACCTCAGGGGCACGGCGGGAGGGACGGGGCCCGTGGTGCGCAACAAGCGTGGGGCCAGTGCGACCGCCTGTGTTGCCGCAGCGCGGGCGCGCGCTCCGCGCGGGGGCGTGGCCTGAGCGGGCTGCGCAGGGGGCAGTCTGCACCATGCGCGGCGGGCAGAGGGGGGACGCGGGCGCGGCGAGGGGGCCGAGTTTGGACGCCCGGTGTGGCCTGGAGGACTGCACGTGCGGGGTACCTCCGGTTTGGGCCCCAGACGGAGGTGTGGACTCGGATACCGGTTGGGGCCCTGGACCTTGGTCCGGGGTACCTCCGGTGTGGGCCCCAGAGGCACGAACCCGCAGCTATACCCCCAACTGCCCCGCAGCCCAGAGGATCTGGGCGGGCTGGGCGCCGGGATCATCCGGGGTCATATCTGCGGTCCGGGGTAACTCCGGAATTTGGGCCCCCGAGGCGCGAATCTGCAGCTACCCCTGACCACACCCAGCATTGATGCTTCGGAACTCTGATGAATGAAACAGGGCGGGACGCTCAAAGGGGCAATTGTTGAAACAAGAACTCCGAACTGTGGGGATCGATCCGGCTCGGGAAGTGACGCCTGTAGCGATGGTGTCGGGAGCTCTGGACGCGATTCTCTTCACAACGTTTGGCGTCCTTGGGATCCGGAGTCCTGGGTATACCAGGGGGGGGAGCTGAACGGAGAGGAAGGAGCTCGAGCGTAGGTATCACCAATGGGCGCTCCGAGCCCAATTGGAAGATTAATCTGAAGCACTGTTTTCATTGGTGGCAACCTTCATGCATCAGACATGGACTTAGTGACGGTATACGCCCGCGCACCGCGAGAGCGAGGGAGTCAGGGAGGGAGAGAGAAACAGTGAGATAGAGAGAGAAAGAGAGAGAGAGCGAGAGAGAGAGAGAGAGAGAGCGAGAGAAATGTTTCATCGTTCGCGGCATGCGGAGTCGTGTGAAAGGGCTTGCGTGAACGCATTCGCCCGACTCGTGCCTTGAGCGAAACTTGCTACGGCACCTCGGGGTGATTGTTGTATCCTGGAGCCTCGGGAGTTCTTGGAGCTCGCTCGGGGCGCCTTGGGGGCCATCGTGGCCCGTCTTGAGACTCTCTGGTGGCGTCTAGGAGCATCTTTAGGGCCCTGTCGGAGCACCGTGGATGCTCCACGGGCTGCCTAGAGCCTCTCCTGGGCGCACCTGGGGCGCTCCCGAGCTGCGTCGAAGCCTAGGGGGCCTCTCCTGGGGAGGCGCCCAGGGGGGAGGGGCCGCCCTGTACAAGGGAAGTCGCAGCCCAGGGCCCTTCCTCCATGAGTGTATATGTGTGGGCCCTTCCTCTATATGTATATATGTGTGTACAAACGTATATATATATACATAACATGTATATGTATATGTGTGTATGTATGTATGTGTATATATATAGATGTGTACGTCGCCGCGCCTGGCGTTCCCGACGCGCCCAAGCTGCGCACGAGGCGGCGCTTGACCTGGTGACCGAGGCGCCCTGACCAAGACGGAAGGCCGCACGTCGGAACAAACGGCGCGGCGACATACCAGATGTATGTCTCCCCTTCTCTTTCTCTCTCTCTTTCTCGTCCTTCATGAGACAATGTGCGTAACTCGCGGAGACCAGCGAGGTTCAGCGCTGGAAGGACACATGCGGCCACACCGTGTGTATCCCGCTCTCGCGGTAGCGGCCGGGGGCGCCCGATTAATGAATCGGCGAATTCCCCATTCCGTCTTTCCTCTCCTCCCTCCTCCACCTCCCCTGCCCTTCGCGCCACAAGGCCTCCTATGCGCTTGTGGAAAAGAGCATCCAACCCTCGCTCAGGCCAGCCGCGAGCTGTGGATCCGAGCAGGTGGCCGATTCCGAGATTCTGGGCACCGCCGTTGTGACTTCTCCAAGGGACGCCCTTGCCTTGTTGCAGGCTCCCACTGAGCCTCCGTCGGCAAGGCAAGCTTCGCTTCGTGGCATGAGTAACTAGGGGTCGCGTGGATAGCCAGTCCTGGGGACCTCCCCCGAAGCCGGCTGTCCATCCTGGAGCCGTCTCTTGACGGCCCTAGAGTCCAACGCCTACTTTCCACTACCACCACTATGGATCCGGGGCGGCTGACTTATGGTAGTGCTTTGCTGTGCGTAGCGCCGACCGCGCCCAGCAAACCACCACCATAGGTCGTCGTGCAAAATAAGCCCACGATAGGAGGCTCGAGGACGGGTCCCGGAAGACGGTCTTCCGTTGGTGGCCGTCGTCGTCGTCGTCGTCGTCGTCGTGTCGTCTCCGTCGTCTCCTCGTCGGCTCCGTCTCCGTCTCCGTCTCCGTCTCCATCGTCTCCTCGTCGTCTCCGTCAATCGTCGTCTCCGTCGTCCCCCGTCGCCTCTCCCTGGGCCCTCCTGGTAAAGCACGCCAGCCATCTCGACATTGAGCAACGTCGTAGCTGAGTCGAAGGAACGCCCCTTCCCTTGGATCCCTGCCCCGCGGGCCGCCCGGGGGGGGTCCTCGGGGGTGACATCCGGGGGATGGGTCCCAGGGGGTGGGTCGACGGTCGCCCCCCAGATTCGGGGATGGACAGACCTCCCTTTAGTAAAATGTGGTTTAGTGAAAACGACCTCGGGCCCAAACCTGGCAGGCGCAAGCCTGGAAAATGACGGCCGCGGCGCCCTCTCGAGAACCGAAAACGGACAATTCACTAATCGACGTGTCAGGGTAGGAGGTCTGTCCACCCCCGACAGATACGCATCCTCCCCGACCGGTTCCGAGGCCCAGAAAAACCCCAGGACGCGGCAAGAGTACCCCAAGAGGCCCCCAAAGCGGTCCTCGAGGGCCCCGAATCGCCCAATCATCGGTCCAGGACGCCAAAATAGCCTCCAGACGGCTCAAGTGGTTGTCAAAACGCCCCAAAAGGCCTCCAAGAGCACTCCCAAGAGGGCCCCAAGAAGCAAAAATCACAGATGTCCCTGAAGTGTTTGAAAGATTTTGGCCTGTTCACCTTGACTGCTTCCCGACGCTCCTAGACAGCCCAAGAGGCCCCAAAGATCGCCCAAGAGGCCTCCAAGAGGGCTGCAAAACGACACAAGAGGGCCGCCCAATAGGCTTCAAAGACAGCCAAAGAGGCCCCAAAAAAGGCTCCAAGAAGGAGCCCAGACGGGGGACCCGAACAAACATTTCGAGCCCTCGGCCTGAGAGGCTCCCAGGAGGCCCCCAGATGCTCCCAAGAAACCCCACATGCCAAAGAGGCCCAAAGAGGCCCCGAAGAGACCCATTGGAAGCCCCCAGGGGCCCCCGCGAGGCTCCCAAGAGGCCCCCAGGAGTATCCCATGCGGCCCCAAAAATACCCCCGAGAGGCCTCCCAGAGCGCCCGTCGTCGTCGTCGTCGTCGTCGTCGTCGTCGTCGTCGTCGTCGTCGTCGTCGTCGTCGTCGTTGTAATCATCATCCGTCGTCGTAATCATCATCCACCGTCGCCGTCGCCGTCGCCGTCGCCGTCGCCGTCGCCGTCGCCGTCGCCGCCGCCGCCGCCGCCGCCGCCGTCGTCGTCGTCGTCGTCGTCGTGTTGTCGTCGTCGTCGTCGTCGTCGTCGTCGTCGTCGTCGTCGTCGTCGTCGTCGTCGTCGTCGTCGTCGTCGTCGTCGTCCCTCACGAGGCTCCCAAGAGGCCCTAAAACTACCCCCAAAAGGCCTCCGAGAGCGCCCGTCGCCGTCGTCGCCGTCGCCGTCGCCGTCGCCGTCGTCGTCGTCGTTCCCCACGAGGTTCCCAAGAGGCCCCCAAGAGTCTCCAAAGAGGCTCCAAAGCTTCCCCCAAGAGGCCCCCGAGAGCGCCCATCGTCGTCGTCGT